CTGTGTTCAGTTTTGGGCCCCTCACTACAAAAAGGACACTGAATGACTCGAGCGTGTCCAGAGAAGGGCAACGAAGCTAGTGCAGGGTCTGGAGCACAGATCGTACAAGGAGCGGCTGAAGGAACTGGGGGTTTAGTGTGGAGAAGAGGAGGCTGAGGGGAGACCTCATCGCCCTCTACAGCTCCCTGAAAGGAGGTTGCAGAGAGCTGGGGATGAGTCTCTTGAACCAAGTAACAAGCGACAGGACAGGAGGGAATGGCCTCAAACTGCACCAGGGAAGGTTTAGACTGGATATTAGGCAGCATTTCTTTCCAGAAGGGGTTGTTAGGTGTTGGAATGGGCTGCCCAGGGCAGTGGTGGAGTCCCCATCCCTGGAGGTGTTTAAGAGTCAGGTTAACATAGCACTGAGGGATCTGGTGTAGTTGGGAACTGTCAGTTTTAGGTTAATGATTGGACTAGATGATCTTCAAGGTCCTTTCCAACCTAGAGAATTCTGTGATTCTGTGACTCAGAATGAATTAACACTTTATTTTCCTATTATATATTATCATTTTCAGCATAGGATGCCAGAATACAAACTCACCTTATTTTTTTTGTGTTTTACCTTTTTTAAATTAAAACTTCTTTAGGAAAGCTAATAGTACTCCCAGCATTTTAGCAATTACTAAGGTTATTATTGCAGAGTGATAAGTTAAAACTAAGAAAATCATTTCGACACACCCCCTCCCCCACAAAGTTATGCTGCTTCTTAAAACACTTACCAAGCTTCCTAGAGCTTTGATTTTTTGTCTCAGGGCATCACCAATCTGTCTCACTATTTCTCCACGCTTGGGTGCAGGGATCTAGTCAAAACAAAAGAAAACAGAAGAATCTATTTGAGATTGAACATCTGTGACTTCTGCTGCATATATATTGCTAGTCTTGTGCCCTTGCAATAAGAAATCACTGATTGCTGTGCTTTTCCTCCCATATTCCCAAATCATTGTTACTCATCCATTTTTATTATGTACACTGTTTTACAAAAGACTGTTTCCTGCCCCACAGAGCCTGGTAACACCTCATTTTTGTCTGTTTAAAACTTCAGTTCCACTAAATATTGTCAAAAGCATTCAGATTATTAGTTCTGCTACTTCTGTTCAGCTACAATATCCACAATGACCCCAAACAATCTGCTGCACCTCAAGAAACAAGGATTTTTTACAACAGCACAGTTACTGGTTTCTGAGCTTCTGAAGTATACTTAACATCACATTTTCAAACGTTTTTTTCAGTGTGACAGTGGCTGCTGACATTTGTTAGCAGATGCTGAGACATACAGAAGCCTCAATCATGGAAAAATTAAAGCCATATACCAAGTATTAATAATTTTTTTTTAATGTGGTATTCAGTATGTTAAGATAAGAATCAGTAGCTACAATCAATAATAAACCATACTCATGCAACAGGATTTACAGGATTAGAAACTGATAATGAACAGTAGTTCTCTGGGAAGTGAGGAATGAGGAATACATAAACCATGCAACATCTCTTTACAGAAAAAATATCTTTCAGACAACCTCATTACAAACAAAATTCACAAACCAGAAATAGCTTTGAGATGAGGCTTTAAAGCATCTGAACTGTTGATTCTTTGTCATCTGTTAGATTGCTTTTAGATTATTTTCAAACACATTAGGAGTGGGCATGCACTCAACCAACATTATATTCACAATTTGAACAAAAGAACATATGCTAACATCCTGAGGAAGCCCCTGCACTTGTCCTAAACTTTGCTCTCTTCATGCAAGGCAAACTACTTTGCTGTATAAAATACAGAATGCCCAATACCTTACGAAATTGAGGTTTCATCTTCTATCAAAGAACCGAAGATAAAAAATAAGCCTGGCAGGGCCAGCAAGAGAATGGTGCTGGCTGGACATAGCTTGTAGAGGTACACTGAGAACTACAGCTTGCTAAGGAAAAATAGATATTGTCTGACACAGCAAAGTAACACTAAAGTTTTGGAACAACATAACTGTTTTGTGAAATACCAGGACAGCTGGTGAACAGAAAAAGTACACTCAAAACCAGCAGTCTTCCTCACCCCATGAGAAGATCTTTATTGCCGCTAGTTATCCAAACATTCTGCAGAGCTCTGAAGGAGAAGGCAAGCGGCAACAGGAAGTTAAACAGTCCCACAGGAATAATTTCCATGCTACAATGTTTCTGAACTTCAGCAGACTTGTTGGCAATAGCTGGAAGGCACAAACCTGGCTAAATTTGCCAGGCTTTTCAAAACAAACATTTTCCACAAGTCAATGTCCTGATCTTTGTACCTCAGTGGTAACTTGCCCAAGTCATCTGGATTTGTTTCTTGAGGTCCTCAATGCAGATTTTTGCTTTAACAAACATACACAATATGAACATGATTTTACACCTCCACCTGACAGGGCAATTTAATGTCTTTACCCGCCAGAGGTGTGTTATAAAAGAGAAGCCTCTGTTAACTTACATCAGCCCAGACCTTCCATGCTTCTTTAGCCTTCTTTACTGTTTCTTCATAATCCTCCAAACTAGCCTACATGAAACAAAATGTCAAAGAAAAAGTTAGGAAAACCAAACCCCCAAAACAAATGCTACAGAAAAGCTTCTGCATCCAACTCAAGCCATTTCTTGTGGATAGTACTGCACTACAGAACACCGCCTTCACAAGAAGTTTACATCGTGTCTGGTTCCAATTACGGAATGTCAGGTTGCTTGAAAATACTGTTAAGGAGAAACACATGTGCTGCTTAAACAAAACAAAAGAAACCACAAGCAGAAATATTCCTTTCGATGACAAAGGATGCTCCATAAAGAATAGTTGTGAGGGAGGCATTCATCATATATTCACATATTTTATCTTAGACGCTACTAGTACAAGCAATATTAAACAAAGGCTGTGAGGACTGTCCTACTCCACCAGCCTCGCTGGACATCAAGGTCTAATCGAATCCTAATATACAAAAGGAGTAGTTTAGCATTATACCACTGTTGTCACACTAAAAACTTTCACGAATTTACCACGTGAATGCCACGTTGCTGTCCTTCATACCTCCCTCTGGCCATTCAGCTCCACTTAACAGGGAAGGCGCACAGCCTGTGTTTCGTCCCAGAAAAGCCACAGGCTTGTTTTCAGCAGAGGGCCCAAGCTGCGACGAGCCCCACCAACAGCCTGTGGATTCCACATCCCCCAGACCCCTGCCGTCACTCACCCCGGCGGGTCCGTGTACTCCGCGAACCGAGTCGAGAGGGGGCGCGGCAGCTCCCAAACTAAGGCCCAAACACCCCTCAGCCCGCCCAGGGGCCCGGAAGGCTCCTCCCTTCCCAGCAGCCGCTGGGTCCCTGCCCCCCAAGCTGCCCTGCCCGGCCGAGGCGCGCTTACCTGCCGGACGCTGGCTATGGGCTCGTTGTTGGCGGGGCAGTACGTCGTCACCACCTAGAGCAGGAGAGGGGGTATGAGCAGCGGGGCCGCACCCGCCCCTTTACCCAGCGGAGGGGGCGCGACGCCCAGGGCCCCGCCGAAGC